ATTAATCATTTAAATTTATGCTAAACTATATTGAACACTAACTTTTAAGTTGTTTATCATATTTATTTGTGAGCTTTAAATTGTTTTAATTTTAATAGTAACCTTTAATTTGATGTTTAAATAAGACATTGGGTGGTTAATAGGGGCGGATGTACGTGGATCCATATGGGAGTAATTGCACTCCTATTATTTTGAGATAAATGTTAAATTTAGTTTAGTTTGTTAATGGGAATAGAAAAAAATAAGAAAATTTGTAAATCCAAATTTTTTTGCAATATGGTATTAAAATTTTGGACAACATTTTTTAATTTCTAAATCCACCACGGGTTGTTAAACTGTTAATATATCGTGATGACATTGCAATTCTTTCTCATGAACTTTTGTTTATGTATCGATTTTGTCACTAAAATTTAAAACGCTTCAAATTTTAATATTGAAGTTTAGTGTACGTATCAATTTGGTCCCTACAAAAAATCAACTCTTATAATTGTTATTGTCAATTAATCGTCGCTCGTCATTAGTTATCATTCGTGACAATGTATATGTCAAAATATTCACATTTTACTCCCTTTTCTTCTTCTTGGATTGTTTTTAACTAAGTTCACTCAAAATCAGTGAAAAACAATAAAAAGGTTTAACGTTCTAATGCTCCAATCTCATTTGACGAATGTTTGATGAGAATAGTTTCGAGATATGTTATTTTTCTTCTCAAAAGAAAGCTTCTCCATGTTTAAATTTTTGAACAAACACCTCAAAGCTATCAAATATGAGAAATCTCCCAATCCCCAATATATGTTGACTTTTTCTGTTTAATTTTGTGAGTTTTAAAGATGTTTTGAGAAAATATAAACCAACAAAGTAGTAGAGGACGATGAGACGAGTTCATCAATGTTCAAGGTGACCACAAAAGATGTCAGAGAATGACGATTTGTGATTACAAGGTTTTATTTGTTCAAAATCTTTCTTTACCATTGATAACCCACATGCACCCTACAGACACAATTACATCCAGAATCTCTAGAGATAACAACATTTCCTTTGGTCACTAAATTCACTTGATGAGTTCATGAATAATGTATTAAATACAAACTTATCCCTTCAACTAACTTCACATGAACAATACATCCAAGTATAGTGCACATTTGGTAATTTTCCATCAATCATCAAGAAACTAAATGAAAAGGCATGAAAATAAATACAATGATGTTTATATTAGGCAACCAATCTACACTATATATAAGTATATTTATACCATAAACAGTCCTAGTTTCATTATCAACGAAAATCAATTTAAAAGTGCAACATCCTAATACTTCGATTTCTTTCGATGACCATCCAATGAAATTAATTTTGAGATATGTTGTTCGTCTTCTCAAAATAAAATCTATCACTGTTCTGTTTTCAAACAAACACCTCAAAGCTCTTAAATTAAAAAAAAACTCCCCAGTCCCAAATAATAGTTGATTTTTTTGTTTAATTTCGTCGGTTTTGAGTAGGTTACGTTAAAAATCAATCTAATTAAGAGAAGAGTGAAATGCAAAAGTTTTGGTATCAATTTTTCCACGAAAGACGACCGATGACAAGCAATGATTGATTATCGATGACGGCCAAAAAAGTGTACTGCCAGAAATACAATCGTATAAAATTTTTGAGACAAAATCGATATACCCCTAAAGTTCAATGTCTAAAACGACATTATTTTAGACATTACAAATCATTTCCAAAACGACATCAGTTTATCCACATCATCGTACCGTTTGAATTTTCTAACCACGAATCTTGCGTATGTCTCTTGATTGAGATCCCATGTTTCATGGAGCTTTGACTTCTCTTTTTCCCTTTAAAATAGATTAAAAAGATCAGATTTTGATTATGGCCAGCCATGAATCAAATTATTTAGATTATCGGATATTAGATTCTCGTATCGCAATACAATCTCTTGACAGCAAATCACCTTCCTCAATCATTCAACTAAAATAAATTTATTAATTAAAACCAACTCACACACATTCTTGGTCTTGTCTTTTGGCTTCCACTCATGTTGATCTCTCTTCTTTCCATTATTTGGTCGAATTTTGTTATTAGCATTTATATTATGTATAAGTTACGAATTTAATTCTATACTTCGATAGTCTGATTTAATAAATTTTAATTTATCCATCTTTTGAATTTGAAAATTTAGACCTAACCTAAATAGCACAAAGACAATAGGACTAGAGATGAGTATGGATTGGGTCGGACAAGTTTTTGGTTGACCCGAACTTGATCCGAGCATTTTACTACTTCACCTATCATTGATCTAACTCTGGTTTAGGAAGATTCTACCTGACTCGAAAATCAACCTGATTTTTCAGTAAAAAATTATATATCACCTGACACAAATATATAAAATATATTTTTATTAGGTAAAATAGAGATCTAATGGAACAAAAATATAGAGAGAGGAGTTACTATTGTAATTATCTCTAAATATATAAGATATAATTATATTATTTTTCGATTCGGGTTAGAGATTTTTCAACCATGACCCAATCTTATCCTTAAAAAACCCAACCCAACTCAGATATGTTTTTTCTAAATCTCAACCTTATATATTAAGTCAGAACCCATCAAATCTAAATCTCATGCCTATCCCTAAATAAGACTAACTCATAAGAATTCAAAACGATCAAATTAAAGAACATAAACTATATCTACATTTAATGCGTAATACTAAAAATAATAAAAGAAATTAACTTAACAAGTTTAACAACTACTACATAGATCAAGATTGAAATTTCAAAATTTAAAAAGCATACAAACCTAAAATGATTAAATAAGATATTAGGGATTAAATACACAATTTACACATAAAAAGGATTAATAGAATAATTTGACTTGCTTTTTTATATTTTTATGGAAAATTTTATAATTTATGTGTTATTGAATTAAATATAAGTACAATTATTATTGATAATCAAAATAAATATTTTTATATTGAATAAATTTATTAGTGTCATGCTCACCATGACTATATAAATCTATTCATTTAATGTTGCACATTGTCTATTTTAATGATTAAATTTAAAAAGAAAATATTTTGGTTGTGAATTTGATTTTAAGTTATTTAATTCTTTTTATAATAACTCAAATAAAATTAATTTATTATTCTATTATCTTCTGTTTATTGTTAATGGTGTGTTGACAAAGAATAAATCATTTTAATTTTTATTTGATTGACGTTACATTTTAAATTCAATCTTAATAAATCTCAATCGAAATTAAAATCTAAAACTTTTCGATCTTTCAAAAGATTTACATAGTTCGATTTTAAGATGATTTGACAGTCGACAATGGTAGATCAGAAAGTTTTAGATTTTAATTTCAATTGAGATTTAAGGGGATTAAAAGACTATCTAACAAGTTTGAACCAAAGGAAAGAAAGAGAAGTAGTTTGGTGATATTTTCGATAAGAGAAATCATAGGATGAAAAAAAGGATGCAATGGTTCAATCAAAACTAAAACTAAAACATTTTGATCTGCACTTGTAACTATCATATCAATTTGAAACTGAACTATATAAATCTTCTGGCCAAACATGATCGTTCCACCATTGGGATTAACTGGTGACTGCTCCTTTCATTAGAAACTCAACCTTTGCGTCGACTGTGAATTTGGAATCTTAGGGGATTTTTTGAAATAATACTTTAATGTGCCACATCAGCATTTTTTTAACAGAAACTGACGATAATAATCATAATAATAGTGAATTAAAAGTTCAGTAATTGTATTGTAAGTTTTAAAAGTCCAATGACCAAAATACAAGCATTCTAAAAGTTTAGGACTATCAATGTAGTTGACCTTATTACTTATAAACTAGTTCTCATTAAAAGAACTATATATAGAGGCATGAAAAAGCATAGATATGAACAACTTAGGCTAATAGCAATGGAGAGGAAGGTGGGCATCATTGGAGCTGGTATAAGTGGCCTTCTCGCCTGCAAATACACATTGTCAAAAGGCTTTCATCCCATAGTTTTCGAGTCCCAAAGCAGTGTTGGTGGTGTTTGGACCGAGACCGTGGCCACCACCAAACTCCAAACCCCTAAACCACTTTACCAGTTCTCTGATTTCCCATGGCCATCTTCTGTCTCAGAAGTTTTCCCGGACCACAACAAGGTGTTGGATTACGTTCATGGATATGCTAAGCATTTTGATCTGCTTAAGCACATCAAGTTCAACACCAGAGTCGTCGGTATCGAGTATGAAGGTCCCGGCGATGAGGAGATCGGAGCTTGGAGTTCATGGGGTGGCAATGGTGACCCCTTTGGTTCCAAAGGGAAATGGAAGATCATTGTTGAAGACTTGGAAACCCTTTTAACTGAGGTACTTTCATTAGGGGTCTAATTACTGTTTCATTCCCTCTATTATACCGAAAATATTAAGATTTAATCTCACTTCTATAATATTATTAATTAATCTAAACACTTGACATAATATTTCACTATGGTAAATTACATGTTTAGTATATAAACTATCAATTTTGTTTCATTTTAGTACCTAAATTTTCATTTATTTTAAAATCATACCTAACATTTACTTTTTGTTTCGTTTTGGTACCTCACCGTTAAAAACTTAGCGGAACTGTTACAACATAAAATTAAAATAAATTTTAATTTAATAGCTAAATTCTAATACCTTATATGCTAATATTTTTACATATATTTTTATCAAAACACAACTAATGATATAAATATAAATAGTACTTTCATAAGTATCGTAGGGTAGATTCTTCATAAACCCGAACCTAGCCGAATCTAATAAATATCCAACCCAAAATCCAAATTTATAAGAAGCTTGACTCTATCGAATCGAACTGATCAGAACCCATCAGCCATGTTTTTTTTTTTCTTTGCCGACATTATAAAAGATCAAATTTTGCCGAACTAAAGAGTAAATCTAAAATTTGAACATAGTAGGGAGATCAAAATCATAATTTAACATTTTCATATGACAAACAAATGATTTTATTGCAGATTTACATAGTGGATTTTGTAATAGTTTGTGTGGGGAGATTTAGTGGTCTGCCAAATATCCCAGAATTTCCCCCTAACAAAGGCCCGGAAGCATTTAAGGGTAAGATTATCCATTCAATGGACTATGCTGCCATGGATGATAAACAAGCTGCTGAGTTCATCAAAGGCAAACGAGTCATTGTTGTTGGCTTCCAAAAATCTGCACTGGACATTGCAATGGAGTGTGCTGCTGCAAATGGTATTTACAGAATTCCTGCATTAAACCAAGAAATCTTTACACTTCGTGGATAGATCCGACTCGAATTAACCGAATCCGAAACCAATTCAATGGTGTTTGCAGGAGTGGAAAATCCATGCACAGTTATATACAGGACAGCTCACTGGAATGTCCCTGATTATCTTCCATGGGGATTTTCACTCGCACATATGTATCTCAGTCGATTTTCGGAGCTTATGGTTCATAAGCCTGGTGAAGGGTTTCTCCTTGGTCTCTTGGCTACAACTCTTGCACCACTGGTAACTACTCGTATCCGTCACTTGCACTCGAATCCAAATAACATCGTTTCTCTAAAGGGTGTTTCTTCTTTGACAGAGATATTCATATTCAAAATTTGTTGAGAGTGACATAAAAAAGAAGCTTCGTCTGGAAAAACATGGCATGGTCCCAACGCATAGCTTCCTCAATGAAATCAGTTCATGCTTGATATCGACTGTCCCGCCGAAATTCTACAACAAAGTCGAAGAGGGAGAACTCAAATTGAAAAAGGCCCCGAGCTTCAGTTTCTGCCACAATGGAGTTTTGGTTGAAGGTGACACTGAACCAATGGAAGCTGACCTAGTCATCTTGGCCACCGGATTCAAAAGCGAACAAAAGCTCAAAGACATTTTCATTTCCCAAACCTTCAAAGACTACATTACCGGATCCCCTAATGCAGCCCTTCCACTCTACAGGTCAGTTAGCCACAGTAACCTGTTGATACACAATGTAATACAAAACACTTTAAACACACTGCATTGTTGTTTGATCAGGGAGTGCATTCAGCCAAGGATACCACAACTAGCTGTACTCGGATTCTCAGAGAGTATTTCGAATATATTTACCTCGGAGATGAGATGCAGATGGATAGAAGAACTTCTGGTTGGGACATTCAAGCTACCAAGCATTAAAGAGATGGAGAAAGATATAAAACAATGGGATGAATACTTGAAAGAATATTCAGGTGGATACTATCGTAGAAAGTGCATTGGTGCTTTGCATGTATGGTATAATGATCAACTGTGCAAAGATATGGGGTGGAAACCAAGAAGAAAGAAAGGGTTTTTTGCTGAACTTTTTGAACCCTATGGCCCCATGGATTATGTCTCTAACTAAACCGGCTCAGCTCTTACCCATCCTTTTTTTTCCCAATGAATTTTATTGTTGTTTGTCACTTATTTTAAATAAATGAGTTCGATTGGGTTTTGCTGAAAGACAAACCATGTACGGAAATCGTGTGCTTAAGATCTTATGTAATTTAAGTTATAAAGTTTCTTATGGAACCATGATGAACTTGGAACTGGGGTATTTATGAACATACTCGTAGCTTGCCTCTCTCCAAGTCCTTGTGCAGGAACCACCAAGGCCTGGTTTTCGGTATTACTCTGTTAAAACAAACAAACAATCAAAGATGCATAAATATTAGAATACACTGGCACAAAACTAATTTGTATTTGACAATACTTTCAAGTCCTTAGACTTGAGCTTGGATACTTACCAAAACTCCAGTTCTAACCATCGCTAGAACCTCAGTATCTTGTCTGAACAAGGTCGCTAAAGAGCTAAAGGATAGACCTAGGATTGCAGCCAACAGACCACCTGTGACAACCCCTATCTGTAAAGCTTCGTGCATCAAGTTAGTGATTGGTATATCAAAAGCCAGATATCAACGTTGTGATAGGTGATAAGGAGAGGGGGCCGGTGGGGCGGTTGCTGGAAATTTCAAATTATCGTATAATTTAAATATTTTTATATTTTCTATTGGACTGATAACAAATGTAGGAAAATCCTGGTAGAAGCTTACCTGCAACACAAATTTAGCAACTTCATAGTCCGTAGTTCGCCTTTAGATAGGTAACTCGCAATCAATGCCTACACAAAGAAGAATAATATAAACATATTATCAAGAAGTAAACAAAAGCAAAAAGAATTTCTTGTTCTTTTCACTAAAATAACAGAAATGGAGCGAAACAGAAAAGAGGAAACCGCGAAAACAACCGAGTTTTACAATATATTTTCAGCATGCAATTACGAAACTCAACTTTCCTTTACTATAAGCCAAGAGAAAACTGCCTAGAAATTTTCCTGTTTGGTTCGCGAGAAAAACGAGGCAGACGAAAAATGAAATCGAGGAAATGACGAGAAAATACGTAAGAAAAAGGAAGCAAAATTAATTACCGTTCTAGAGGAAGTTGAGATTTACGTAAAACTAAAAAGAAGAATCGTTTAAAGGATTCAGATTTTATACTGGTCCTAAAGCTTTGAAATTTTAGGGGTAAACTACACTACTGCACCCAACTATTATCGGTTTCTTACTTCGGTCATTGAATTAATTTAATCGAATTCTTAAAAAATATGTGTTAATTACTTGTTTAAATATAATACGAAACATATTGAAAATATTAATTAATTTATTACATGAAGAATTTGAGTTTAACGTGTGAAATACACACCGATTTTTTTAACCCATCATACTCAAATTATTGATGTGATAAATAATGTACATACTGTGTTTTAAAATTTAATTCATTTAACATGCAAAGTTAACAATTAAATTGATACTATATGGACTTAATTAGATTTTTTTGAAAATTTGAGATTAATTTAAAATTCAAAACATAGTTTGATTGCATTTGGTGCAATTGACTCTAAAAATCTAAATTAAATAATAAAATTCAATTTAACTATTATTAAAAAAATTAATTTTACTGTATATTATTTTAAATAGTTACAGGAAAAAAGTGGTGTTTTGTGGTGGAAAGTCCCTAAAAGGTACTGTAGAGATTTGTACAAATTAGTCACTCTACTATTAAATTGATCAAATTAGTCCATCTATTAAAAAATAAATACCATATATAAATATAAATATATTGCTTGCATAATTAAAATATAAATACCATATATAGCAACATGAGTTGACTCTGTTGATTGAATACTCATCAACATTCTGATTCGAGTCTTTATCAATGACAGTGTTAGTACATTCTTCATCCTTACACTAACAGGGAAACAGCCAAATCTGTAATAACTTTGATTAGTCATCGTTTTATTTGTGCCATTAACAATTTAAACCAAAAATGGAGGGGAAAAAATAGCCACCACAACAACAAAGGACCCACCAGATGTTCAGAACCAGAGACCAGAAGTTATCCTTACATGAACCGGAAAAAATGTACATTACGGTATCACTTTTCTTCCAGTCGCCGAAGAACAGATTCGGCAAAGCTTTGTTGTCTGCAAAGTGCAACGATAACCCATTTAGAATAACATTCATAGGATCACAGACGTAAAAGTAAATAATGAACAGCGTGCTGCATGTAGAAAATCTGTCGATAATTTTCAGTATAGAATAATTGACAACTAATAACCGATTTGACTAATGTGATATAAGGGTAGGTTAATGGGGACAAAGGATCATGCGGATGAATTGTTTAGATAATAATTTGTTGATGCATTGAAAAATAAACTACGGAGAATGAACGCCTAGTTGCAGCTATTATTTAAGATCTTGAAAGGTATAAGATGTTATGGAAACCAGGAAAGAGGGAAAGGAATAAAAGATGTTTCGTCTTACTTTCGTTCTCTATGCTTAGGGCTTGGGCGAGAATACTTCAGATATCCATCCCATGGAACCTTTTTAAGACCGGCACGAACAGATATTATGTCTCTGACCCTGTATAGAAAGGACATCAGCTGACTCAAAGGTATTGCTTCTCTAGGGAAGACTTGAAACGTGTTAATCAGTGACCTCAACTACCGAGTTCCATTAATAAAGAATAGAACTAACCTCTCCGCAAACTCGATGAGCGTTTCTCCGGGCCTTAGATTCTGGGGCTCTAGGTACCAGACATCACAAACAACAGCCCAGGATGTCATAAGCTGCAACAGATGCATTGTGAAGGACTGCCTGTAGGGGATGGAATATTGGTAAGGCTTCAAGGGTATCATAAACCACAAAACGTAAAAAGACATTTTATATTTGTGTAGGGACAGTTGAAGACTCGGGGATCAATTCCTTACTTCCGGCTATTCCAGAAAGCGTCAACAAAATTTGTATTGTACTTTATTGCGATTGGGCAAACTGTGCAACCAAGTTCAAATGCACCCTAAACATCATCAAAGGAACCAAGATGTCAAAGAATGTAGAAAGCATGAGAAAGGGACAACTTAAGAAGTTCTCCCCAAACTCTAACAGCTATACCTTCTTGAACATAACGCTGTATTGATTGTTTACACACGTCCCTTCGGGAAATATGAGAAGAGGGTTATTGTCAGCCCCCTGACTATGATCCCTTAACCTGAAATTCACAAGTTTATACAACCATGAGATGAAAATAATAGTCTAAAAATTTTCCCTACTCATTGTACTTACTTCTTTGCTACAATTTCACGATCTTTGGCCTCTGAACGGTTAACCAAATACAACCTACACTCTCTAAAATAGTTCTTTGTAGCAGTCCTACATGTGGAAATAATAGTAAAGGTTTATTAAGATATCGGTAGGAAATCTTGAGGCTCGTATCAAACAAAACAACAGAAAAGGAAGAAATTTTGCAGAAACATAATTATATTTTTCATAATATATACTCAGAAGAGAATGCAACAAAAGTAATCTGCTAACTAAATAATCCCCTACAAGTCTACAACATTAAAATCCATATGCAACAGAAGTAATCAGCTAATTTACAATTACCTACAACATTAAAATCTATATGCTACAGAATACAGACGTAATATGAATAATCCCCTACAACATTAAGATATATACGCATCATTCTTAAGTATGTATGTTCTCACTACTAGTTACCAACCCATCCAGGATGCTTTTGCATAATGACAGCAAATGCAGTCATCTGTTCTAATATGATGAAATCTATCATAGAAGTATGATTGGCGACAAACACCTGTTAAATCCACGGAAGAAAGCTCAGATATAATCTAAATTGCAGAGAGAGGCAGCATAAAAGGGCTAAGTACTAATGATAAAAAGCCGGACAGAACCTTTATGAAACTAAATTAAAAACCAAAATCTTAGTTATATAAAGGGCACAAAGAAGAGTAAGATAAACCTGCTTGGGTCGCATACTAGGCCGTGGTCCGTGGTACTTAACCACTCCAGTCCAGGAAGCAACAAAGAAGCTGCAGATTAGTTCCACCAAGACCCTCTGAAAAGAAAATATGACAAACTAAGTTTATGTATAATCATTTCAACGGAAAATGCACTAGAATAAAGGTAACAAACATGTTTGTTAGAAAAGTACAGGAAATCTCCAAAAAGAGAACGATAAAAGCTTCCTGTTTAGAACTTTAAACCTTTTCTTCCATCGTCACCACACATGCAAACAAATATACCTAGATACAAGAGAGAAATAAAAGTGGCACGAACTAGAAAAGCATAAAAGTTCACACCTCCAACTTTTTCCGCAATGCATCGTTCCCTTTGAGAAGTAAGTGCATAGGAATGAAGCATGAAAGAAATATTATCCATCCTATTGTCAAAACTAGAGCCCTGCGGATCAAACGGCATAACGGAAACTCAGATACAAACCAAACATTTCAACATACCATAAACTAAGACAAGCAAACTTCATTCAAACAAACAAAATCATGCATTAAACAATTCGAAAAAGTAGAAAGTCTAACCTCACGGGGAACAAAATCAAGTGCCGAAATACCACACCGAAACACCAGAGAGGAAACAAATACACATTCCAGTTCCACGGTTCCGGAGAATTAGACTTAAAACACCGCGTGAATTAATCCTGCTCGTTGACAACACAGCTATAATCATTTAAATCTTGAGAAGAAAAAAACCCCACCTTACTTCTCAAGATCAAAACTTTACAACTCCCCCCCCCCAATATAAATAAACCCATTAAAGCATTTGTATTTGCTCTCTTTCCACAGAGACATGCAGAAATCTTACAAGGAATTAGGGATAGAGAGAGAGAGAGCTTACATCAACAATGGCACCAGCAGCTTCAGTTAAAATGGGAGAAATGTCAAGCAAATCGCATCTGAAGCCATTTTCAATAAAATTATAACGAATGGACCAATAAATAAAATAATTTACTGATTTTCAAGAGAAAAAGAGGGGAAGTGAGAATTACAGGCGA